TTTATTTAGGGACGATTTTAAGTATAATTTTAATTGGAACACAGCCTCTAATATTTGGTTTTTAATTTGGTTTTAGAAGGGTTTTATTTTTGTATATTGTTATTGTATCTGTTTTTAATATGCTGTGCACCGCCCTGAGTCCTGCGGGAGAAGGGCGGTATAGAAATTAAAATAATAAATAATAAATAAATAAATAAATAAAATAATGACTAACAGAGAGAAGCAGATTTTGTCTAGAAAATGGATGTAAACCAGGGGTCTTCAAACTTGGCCCTTTTATGACTTGTGGACTTCAACTCCCAGAATTCCTCAGCCAGCGTACCTGGCTGAGGAATTCTGGGAATTGAAGTCCACAAGTCATGAAGGGGCTAAGTTTGAAGACCCCTGATGTAAAATATCTCATAATGTTAGAAGCTTCATGTGAGGTATTGGAGTAGATTAGTCCTTTTTTTAAATTATATTGCATAAGCTTAAGAATACAAAAATGAAAGAACAAAGGCCTATTTGTTTAATGATAAGTCAGATTGGCTGTTTATCTGCCCGTATTTTGGTATCTGTGCCCGATTTTCTTATTTGTGCTACTTATGTCTTGACCTATTTCATAATATATAATAAAGTGTTTTGTTTTTTTTTTAAAAAAAAGATGCTACAGATGTTTTAATTGATAGGCACCTGTGTGTGTGACAGGCCAGCGCTTACCTTATAGGTGTTCCAGAATTTCTGCCGGCAGTCAGCAAAAATATCCTCTTTTCCTTGAAGCATTCTCATGCCTGGTCAAAAATGGTTTTTAAAAGGAAAAGGAGATGTTAGAAACGGAATGGTGGACACATCTATTCAAACTGCATATGGGTCTTGCGAAAGAAGAAAGAAAGAAAGAAAGAAAGAAAGAAAGAAAGAAAGAAAGAAAGAAAGAAAGAAAGAAAGAAAGAAAGAAAGAACACAGATGGCCTTGTAAAGCAAAAATTGTGCTTCTGTATGATTTCTGGAGAGCAAAGATCAATTATCTTAATTTTCTCCCGAAGTCACAGTTTATAGGAAATGAAAATGGCAGCTAGAACTGATGATGCTACCTAGGTGGGTCATGAGATGTCTGCAAGAAAACTGCCAAGCTAAGAGAGCATCACGGACCCCACAATCTTCCTCCTCCTCCAGCCCCCCTCATTCTGTTTCTCCTCACCTGACCACAGGATGATGGAGTTGTAACTTGGAATGGTCACTAAATGAAATGTTGTAAGTCGAGGATGCCCTCCACCAGCCTGTCTTAAACCCTAGCACCCTCTGTGGCTGCCGGATTACAACTCCCATTGCCTTCCCAGCCCCCTCTTTCTCTCCCCCCCTCTCCCCCCCCAAGCCCTGCACGGACCCAGCATGGCTCTCGGTGCACTCCCTCCAAAGAAGGGCATCTCCCTCTTTGGCTTTACAACCGCCCGCCCGCGAGAGACGCTGAACTCCAGCTGTCGCCCACCGCCTCCCCAGCGGCTGTTGCGGCTCCGTGTGTGAGTGTGTGTGTGTGTTGGGGGGGGACGGGTCAACTCCAGCTATCGCCCACCGCCTCCCCAGCGACTGTGGCGGCTCCAGGCTGTGTGTGTGTGTGTGTTGGTGGGGGGTGTTCCTCACCCCGCAGAGCCCTCTGCACGTGCTCAGAGAGGCGCTGAACTCCAGCTGTCGCCCACCGCCTCCCCAGCGGCTGTCGCGGCTCCGCGTGTGTGTGTGTGTGTGTTGGGGGGGTATTCCTCACCCCGCAGAACCCTCTGCACGTGCTCAGAGAGGCGCTGAAATCCAACTGTCGCCCACCGCCTCTCCAGCGGCTCCGTGTGTGTGTGTGTGTGTGTGTCTGTCTGTCTGTGTGTGTTGGGGGGGACGGGTCAACTCCAGCTATCGCCCACCGCCTCCCCAGCGACTGTTGCGGCTCCTGGCTCTGTGTGTGTGTGTGTGTGGGAAGGGGTGTCCCTCACCCCGCGGAGCCCTCTGCACGTGCTCAGAGGCAGGGGAGGCGCGAGCGAGGCAGGCAGGCAGGCAGGCTCTGCCCTCCCCCCCCCTCCCTTTCCCCAGTCAACTCACCGGAGTAGAAAGCCAGGATGGCGACGGGGCCGCCCACCAGCTGGTCGCAGCCCACCTTGGCCAGCAGGGCCGCCGGGGCGCGTCCGGGCAGGAGCCGCTCCAGCCCCCGCAGCCAGAGGTAGTTGAAGTTGGCGTGGAAGGTCAGCGCCACCAGCGCCACCCGCCCCGTCTGAGCCCAGTCGGCGCGCTGGCCCGGCCGGCGGCGGAGCTGCTGCTGGACGGCGTCGCCCGCCGCGAAGAGGCTGCCGTAGAGCAGCGCGTTGCAGACCCAGGGCGAGCGGCGCACCAGGCGCGCCAGGCGTTGCATCCTCGCCCGGGGCTTTTTTTTTTT